TAGGACTACAGGTACGTGCCACCACACCCAGCTAATTTTTCTATTTTTTGTAGAGACAGGGTCTCACTCTTGCTCAAGCTGGTCTGGAACTCCTGGCCTCAAGTGATCCTCCCACCTCAGCCTCCCAAAGTGCTAGGATTACAGGTGTGAGCCACCGCACCCGGCCCTGACTTTTTTGTTTGATTAGAGTCCAGACATTAAAGTTATTTATTAACCTGTACGTTTCTATCCCACAGAGAATAAAACTCCATTGACCAGTTTTGTATCTAACATCACTGCTGTGGCCCGTTTCTTGGGGCCGAGGAATGAACACAGAGACAAAAAGACACAGACACACATAAAGACGGTACATGACTGCAGCCACTACAAAGAGACACAGACACACAAAGACGGTATAAGACTGCAGCCATTTTTCCTGCTGCAGCGGTTTATTTTTAACACAGCCTGTTTGGCAACTGTCCCACCGCAATTTCTTTGTTCCCACACTGTCCCGACTCAACACGTCCCTGTTCCTTGTTGTTTCGTCTCCGGCGAGCAGATGTTTGCATCTAAACTCTCTAGCCCCTCCTGTTTGCAGGGTTAGGGCGCTCTGGACTTGCGTGCAAGGCCACAGACATGTTCTTGAGAAAAACAACAAGGAAACATTCCCAGACAAAGGTGTCCTCTACACATCACAATCTCTTTCTAGCATTCTTCTCTCAAAATGCTTACAAATACATGTACCCATCTTCCTAGAATGTTCTATGAATCAGCTTTCCAAAACACTCCCTTCTGAATTGATGTGCAATAGGTCTTCTTTTTCTTTCTTTTGAGACAGGGACTCGCTCTGTCACCCCGGCTGGAGTGCAGTGGTCTCATCATAGCTGGCTGTAACTTCAAACTCTTGGGCTCAAGCGATCCTCCTGCCGCAGCCTCCCAAATAGCTGAGACTACATGTGCACACCACCACACTTGGCTAGTTTTTTATTTTTGGTAGAGATGGGGTCTAGGTATATTGCCCAGGCTGATCTCAAACTCCTGGCCTTAAGCGATCCTTCTGCCTTAGCCTCCCAAAGTGCTGGGATTACAGGTGTGAGCCACCTCACCTGGCTGTAATAGATTTTTCATGTGTTCATTCTATATTTGTATGAATCTTTTTTCTCTTACATATTGAAAATTATACTTTAAGGCTTTGTCAGGAGGCAGTTGTTGGGACCCTGCTCAGATTTCCTAAGGGATAGGCCCAGAGGATGAGAGAAGCAGGTACCCACTCAGGGATTCCCAGGGTGCCCACCCTGTGGTGAACACCAGTCCTGGAATGCTAGGTCCTTGAAACCCCAGAACATCCAAAAGGCATGAGGACTTTTGTGAAACCCTAAGAGGTAGCCAGAGAACCGTGTGTTGGCAATTTGGGGTTAGGGTCAGGGGTATAGCAGACTCAGCTACCCCTGCACCCAGGCCTTGGGCCAGGGAGGGAGGGGAGAGACCCAGCCCTGCAAAAAGCCTCACGGAGTCCATAAGATGGTGGTATCAAGGTGAGAACTAAAAATAAAATCCTAAGCCCCCCAGGCACTGAATAGACCCCCTCTTGGCCAACGGGACACCAGAGAAACCTTAAAACCTGAGTTCCTGCGATGACAAGAATGGAGGTCAGACATGCCTCATTATACCCCTCCCTTTATGTGGTTTAGACACAACTAACCAGCAGGAACGTTAAAATCGAGATCATACGACTGAATGGACATAAGAATGGACTCTGTGGCTACCAATACCAAATTATAAACATGGCCTAAGGCTGTGCCAGGCGAGGGTTAAGTCACGCACCCCTACACTTAAACTATGTGCTAACTGCCACAAGGTTTTTTTCTGTAGCAACTAAACAAGCACTGGCCTCTCAATGAGCAACATTCAAACCATTGGGGAAAAAAAGGCCATTGCAGCTTATCTGCCACCAGACGCTAACTGACCCCCTTGTTCCATGGCTTTGATTGGACAAAAGACTGATTTCTGGAACTTTCTCCCCATAAGACATCTCCAGCCACAGACTGGTTCTGGCTAGTTTACTTGAGTGCCTTCCTGTCCCTGCTTCACCTTTTGATGTTTAGGACCTAACTGTAGCACATTCAAATGTTAAGTCTCCACCCCAAGGTGAACATGGATCATACACTACATGCTTGTCCAATATGCATGTGCTAGGACCCCATTCATGAAGACCCACAGCTCCTCCTGCAGCTTGTGGAATATCTATACCTGGTGTTAAAATGCAGACCCTGGGCCTCGCTGGCTGAAGGTTTGCAGCAGGTGAGTCTCTGGTAGGACCAGGGCACGTGAGCTTTTTAAACTTTTTATTCTTGAAATGTTCAAAGATACACAGAGGTAGACTGTGTGGTATAATGAAGCCCCATACACTCCTCAATTCCGCTTTAGTATCAGCTCATGGCCACTGTTGTCCCATCTCTGCCTCCACCCGCCGCCACTCCTGCCTCTGGGTTATTTTGAAGCAAATCCCAACACTCCTACCATTTATCCATCAATATTCCAGCATGTATCTCTGAAAGATAAAGGCTCCTAAAACACTCACAATCTGCCGGTTGCCTGTAATCCTACAACTTTGGGAAGCTGAAGCAGAAAGATCGTTTGAGGCCAGGAGTTCAAGACTAGCCTGGGCAACATAGCAAGACCCCACTTCTACAAAAAATTTAAAAATTAGCCAAGGGTGATGGCACATGCCTGTAGTCCCAGCTGCTCTGGAGGCCGAGGCAGGAGGATCACTTGAGCCCAGGAGTTTGAGGCTGTAGTAAGCTATGATGAGGCCACTGCACTCCAGCCTGGGCAACCACTCACAATTGAAATATCTTATCACACCTTTAAAAAATTAACAATAATTCCTATCATCCTACAGGCAGTGTCCAAATTTCCAGTGGTCTCATAAAGATGTCATTTCACACCTCTTTTGTTTTTTAGAGACAGTGTCTCACTATGTCATCCAGGCTGGAGTGCAGTGGCTATTCACAGGCAGGATCATAGCTCACTGCAGCCCTGAACTCCTGAGCTCAAGCAATCCTCCTGCCTCAGCCTCCAGAGTAGCTGGGACTACAGGTGCACCCCACCACACCCAGCCTTCAACATTTTGCTTTTGTTGCAAGTGGTTGCTAAAAAGTCTCTTTAGTCTTTTTTTTTTTTTTATTGTAGTAAAGTAGTACAACATAAAACTTGCCATTTTACCCATTTTTAAGTTTTCAACTCAGTGGCATTAATTACATTCTCGATGTGCAACCATCACTACTATCTAGTTCCAAAATCTCACGTCTCTTTTAATCTGTAACATTCATCTTTCTATCCTAAATCTTACGATTGAAAGTGATTTCAAACAATACATTTGAGCTCTGAGCTGGCTGCCTAAGTTCAAAGCCCAACTCCTCTCTCCGGGTGTCACAGCTTCATGATCTTGGGCAAATTACTACTCTCACCTTATGTTCCCAGGAGCTAAAATAAATGGAGATGACAATAGGATAACAGGTGAGGAATTAATGAATTGATGGAGGCAAACACTAGAACAGGCCCCCCCTGGAGGTGTGCTGTGTCTATTAGCAGCTGTGGTCAGGGGTGAGGCTGAAGCCAGGGGGCGCTGTCGGGGCAGGGAGGGAGGCTTTTTTTGGGGAGCCGGGCAGGAGGCTGGGTCTGGAGGCCTTAGGGGCTTCTGTGCCCTCACAGGCACAAAGGCCACCCACCCTGTACCTGGGCAGCAGGTCAGCCACAGGAGTGGGCACCGCGGGGCGGGGCAAGGAGGGATGCAAACCCCGTCCCCATCGCCTGCTGCTCCAGCCACCCCAGGACCACTTTGGCAGCGTGAGCCAGTGGCTAGTCATCACTGCCCCACAGAGGCAGTGGGGGCTCCTCTTGGGCAGGGGACAGGGCTTGGTGGGCAGCTGGTGGGCCTCAGAGGGGACTGACAAGGAAAGTCAGACTAGCCCCCAGGATGCCAGGGACCCTGCCCCCAAGAGGGGGGACTGGCCCAGAGTCAACCTTTGCCAACAGTCAGACCAGCCGGAGCCTCTGTTGATGGAGGCATTGGACCAACCTCACAGGGCCAGGAATGGGGCAAGAGGGATCCTTTGGGATCTGGGTCAGAGGGTGGGGGTGGTGACTGCATGGCCAAGGCAGGGGCTGAAGGCCTTGTGGGGAAGCAGTGGATGCGGGGGGAAGGTCCAGGGCCTTCTCCCCACACTGAGCCAGGTCACTGTGGATGCCTGTGGGAGCTGAGCCTGGCAAGACGCCGCTAGGGGAAGCCAGGATCCCCCACGTGGCCAACACCCCCAGCCCACACAGAGGGAAGGATGCTACCAGAGCCAGGCCACCACTCGAGATTCAAGGTTCTCAGCCCCGCCCGTGCTGTGCCACCTTCAGGGACACCGAGGAGGGGGCTGCCCTGAGGAAAGAACAGCTGGTAAGACAAACAGGTATCTGTGGCCTGTGGGAAGGGAGGATCGGGACCCAGGGGTATGGTGGGGAGAGGAAAGGAGCCCCAGACCCCAGATGTAGGAAGTAGAGAAGGGGGCCAGGGATGCCCAGAGGCCATGCTGTTGGACCCATCCTTGGCCACACCCACCGGCAGCCTCTGAGGTTCCCCTAGGGCCACTCTCCCGAGACACCCCCTCACAAGACCCCAGAGCCTTGGCAGTCTCAGCAGGTTTACTGTCGGTGGCAGGTGAGCGGGAAGGGGAGGGGAGTGGGTGGGGTGGAGGCCAGGAGTGAGGGGTGCTGAGGTCGCGGCCTGGCCCCCTGGGGCCCATGCTCCCACCTCCCAGCCCACCCGGGCATGGACCTTCCAAGGGATGGTTTCTGGCAGGGTCTGTCCTAGGCAGGAGAGGAGGGTCCCTGGAGAGTTCCTGCCAGTGGCAGCAATGGCTGTAGGGGCCACAGGCAGCAGACAGGCCTCACAGAGGAGCAGGAGCCACTGCAGTCCAGAGAGATGTCAGGTCAGCCATGACGGGCCCAAGCTTGTCAGCTCTGGACTTGCTCCCCCTACTCGCCCTGCCCAGCGAGGGGCCTGGGGGGAGGGTCCAGAGGGCTCCGGGGGGCCTCCAAACGCCTGGCAGGGGGCTCGGCATGGGAGTGCAGGGTGGGCCTCACGTCTGCAGCTCCAGGAGGCGGGTGGGCCTCGAGGGCGGGGGGCTGGCCGGGCTGGAGCTGTGGGCCTCCCGGAGGTCCTGCAGCACCTGGAGCAGCTGGGCCAGCGGGTCCTTGGGGCCTGGAGGCAAATGTGGCCATGAGGGTGGCCGGCAGGGCCTCGGAGGCCAGAGGGCCCTGGGAATGGGCCTGGGCTCCCCACCCATGCATCCCTGAAGGTGGCTGGGGACGCAGAGGGAGTCCCAGATGGGAAGGACCTACCTTGGCCAGGGCCCATGGGCACGGCACCCGCCTCTGTGCCCCTGCTCGGCTCCCGGAGTTTCTCCCTGTGGGGGAGGACAGAGTGAGGGCCTGCGGCCACAGCCCACCCTGCCTGGGCTCCTGGCACCCCTGCTGGGAAGGCTGGTGACCCAGCATGGGCCTCCCGAGCTGCAGGTGGCTCTGGGGGGTGGGAGCTGACTCTCAGTCTCCAAAGAAGCAACAGGAGCCCCTGGTCACCTTCCCGGTTCCTTCCTCCCCTCCCACCGCGGTGGGTAGCCAGAAGGGCCTTTGAAAACCAAGCTCAGGCCCCATCACTCTCACATTGCAGGGCCTGTGGGAAATAGCCAAGTGGGGCCTGAAAGTCCCCTAGCTGGCCACAGAGTGAATTTCCTTCTTATGGGACAGGAGACAATGACATGTTCTTAATAGGGCTCACCAAAGACCCCAGGCCCTTACAGGTGCAATTCTCCACGTGTTTACAGGAGGAAGATGAGAGCCAGGTGGATCCCTGCTTGAAGTCCTTTATTTAGGAATTCTCGCTGAGTCCTTTTCACTGTCCCCTGGTCTATTTTTCTTTTTAGAGATGTGGTCTCACTCTGTTGCCCAGGCTGGAGTGCAGTGGCATCATCATAGCTCACTGCAACCTCCAACTCCTGGCCTCAAGTAATCCACCTGCCTCAGCCTCCTGAGTAGCCCGGATATAGGTGCGTGCCACCATGCCCAGCTAAATTTTAAATGTTTTGTAGAGGTGCAGTTTTGTTATGTTGCCCAGGCTGGTCTCGAACCCCTAGGCTCAAGCAATCCTCTTGCCTTGGCCTCCCAAAGTGCTGGGATTACAGGCATGAACCACTGCACTGGGTGACAGAGCAAGACCTTGTCTCAAAAATACAAAGTTTTGCCCTCAAAGGAGCAAATGGAAAAAGCAGCCATGCTTGGAGGGAATGTGAGGTCAAGGGAGGGCTCATTTCTTAAGATGGGGACAGAGTGTTTGGGGGCTGAGGAAATGGTCCAGGAGAGAGAGAAAAATCTCTGAAGGTGGAAGGGGCCCCTGCATGAAGGACGCAGTGGGTAGAGGCCTTGGCAGGAGACTTGGTTCGTCCATGGAATGAGAAGGCGGGAAACGCAGGCGCAGGTGACGCAGGTGGGCGTGGGCCAGGCTGTGGGAAGACGAGCGCTCACTTGCGGGTCATGCTTGTGTTCAGGGCCAAAGCGGCACAGATGGTGTGGGGCCAGGGCTGGGATCATGTGCCAAAGGGGAGCAGAGACAAAGTATGAGAAAGTCACCAGAGGGCAACCCAACCAAGTGACCTGCCACAGGACTGGCGGGAGGAGCACCGGGCAGAGATGTTGGGTGGAAAATGCAAAGTGGGCCCCTCGAAAAGAGGTTCCTCCAGGAAATGCAATTTTCCATGAGCTGCCTGGGTATAGGCTGGGGAGGTGGGAACAGCAGGCGGGGAGGGGCCAGGCTGGACAGTGGCCTCCCAGGATAACCAGGCTCTAGTCCCTGGAACCTGTGACTGTCACCTGACATGGCAAAAGGGACTTTGCAGACGTGATTAAGGATCCTGAGTTGGGCAGAGGATCCTCCAGGTGGGCCACGAACGAGTCCACAAGCGTCTTATGAAAGGGAGGCAGGAAAGCCACAGGAAGATGACGAGAGGACGGAAGCGGAGATGAGAGTGACGCACTTCAGAGATGGAGGAAGAGGCCCTGAGCCCAGGAAGGTAAGTGGTTTCTAGAAGCTGTAAACGGCCAGGAAACAGATTCTCCCTTACAGCCACCAGGAGGAGGAACCAGCCCTGCCAACATCCAGAACAGTAAGGGAATAAATCCATGCTTTCAGCCACCAAGTTTGCACTCATTTGCTAAAGAAGCCATAGGAAGCCAGCACAGCCGGGGACCACGGACAGTGGATGCGAGTGGGGGCCGGTGGATCCGAGCTCCTGGTGGGCTGGATCCAGAGGAAGTGAGCTGGGACGGGGTGGGGACATTCTCAGGACAGCAGGTGCACAGGTGGTCAGGACCGAGGGCGCCAGAGCCAGGCTACTTGGGTTCGAATTTCGACTCTGCCATTTCCTGGCTTAAGGGTGGATCATAAGAGCGGTGACCTGGGTTAGCAACTGACTATTAAATGAGTTCACATGTGAAGTGAAGTTAAAATGGAGCCTTGCAAATGAAGAGGAAGAGGAGGAGGAGGGCAAGTGCTAGGGCGTGGCCGTGGGTGTGAGGGTCCAGGTGGGGGTGGTGCACGCATCCCTTACTGGAGGATGAAGTCACCGAACAAAGGGGCAGCATGCCAGGGCCACACTATCAGAGAGGAGGTGGCTGCAAAGTGGCTGCGGCTCACAGGGGAGCAGGTGTTTCCAGATGGACAGCGCGAGCTTCGAAGGGTTTTCGGGAAAGAGAGAAACCTTGGAGGAGTTGATGAGCGAAGAGGACCCAGAAGGCAGGGGCATGGGGGAGAAGAGCCCCGCCCGCGCAAGCTCAGGGAAGCCGAGCTCTCAGGAAGCACGGGCCCCATGCCTGGAGATTCCCAGTTGATGGGGCCCAGGCATCCTCTTGTCTGAAGTTGATTTTTGAAAGCATCCTGTTTTTTCTAAGCTGCTACCAGGGCCAAGAGCCACTGGATTAAGCGAGCTGGCTGAAGAACCCAGGGAGCTGGCAGAGGGCAGGGCCTGCGTTCCAAGGGCCCTGTGAGCCGGCTGGGCAGGTCGGGAGGTGGGCTCAGCCCAGGTCAGGCCAGGAAGCAGCCACAGCCCTGACCCTTGGGTCCTCCGTCCTAACCTGAGCACCCTGTGTTGCAGAGATGTTCCGGGGCTCCAGCCAGACGGGGCTGTGGGGTGGGACGGTGCTGGGCGCAATTAGAAGAGGGGTGGCCAGCCACCACGGTGCAGCAGCCCCAAGCCCAAATCCCAGCTCCAGCCCTGGTCTGGCACATGCCCCAGGCCCGCACAGGCTCTCCTGTGTGGGATTCGCAGCCCCCACACGAGCCTCCTCACCGCAGGGCGGGCTCCACGCCCAGCAGGTGCCGGTAGATGAGCTGGGCCTCAAGGTCATGGTCAAGAGGATCGTTCCACTCCTGCAGGGTCACCCGAGACCGGGTCTTATCACAGCCCCGATCTGGTGGCAGAGAGAAGGCACAGTTATGAGCAGGTACCATGGGACCACATCCAACTTCCTGGCAGTACGTATGGGGAAACTGAGGCTTGGGGAAGCAGAGTGTGGACTCAGGGGCCCCCAGCACAGAGCCTCATCTCGGATTTGGTTCCTGAACCACGGGATACATTCCTACAGAGCCGGCGAGTTGTGCAGGACGCAACCTGGGGATCACTTTCTGGAAGGTTTCCTGCCTGGGAGGAAGCAGGGACAGCCTGGAACTGTGAGATCACGGTGAGGTGGGCCACAGGGGGTTAGTGCCTTGGAATGAGCTGGCCCTGCCACTTGCTGGCATTATGACTTTGGCCGAGTCATCTGCTTTCAATAAGCCTCAGTTTCTCATCCATAAAATGGGATAACAGGCCCTGCCTCTTGGGCCATGGTGGGCCCCACTTCACCGATAATGAGGGTATGTCTGTGACAGTTACAGCCAGAAGCTGCAGGTCAGGTCAACCAGCCAGCAATGCCCTTGCAAAGAGTCACCAAAAGCCATCCCCACCCACTGCTCAACCACAAATCCAGGGCAGAACCAGAGCAGTGGGTCAGGTTCAGATAGCCTCTGCCACGCAGGGCTCTGGGGACAGAGGCTTGGCCTGGCCTGAAGGCCAGGGGGCTCCACGTACTGCTCTAAAAGCAGGTGGGTCTGCAAGGAGCTCACTGGCCAAGAGGAGGGTTCCCTAGGGTTCCCCGTCAGATGAGTTTGGGAAGTGCTAGCAGGGTTACACAGCATTAGAAACGGGATTCTAATGAGTTTTCAGGCCACTTCAGAGCCTTCCACATACTCTCGTGCAACCCACACGTTGACTAGCATTTCCCAAACTACCTGGTCTCGAACCATCTTTGCCCAGAGCACAAAGACGGGGCTGGCTTTCCTCAGGTTGGTTCCCCCAGGCGCACAGGCAGGGCACAAGGGCCCCATGCAATGGCCTGAGGCCTGCCAGGACAGATGCAAAGCATGGGGCCCAGGCCTCCGCACTCACCTGTCTTGTCTTTCTGGTGGCAGCAACTCCACTTGTCCCCACGGAAGATGCCGGGGTGGTAGGAGCCCAGCAGGCCAGAGTTGTTGATGCTCACTTTCCGCAGTGCAGACAGCCACTGGTTCAGCTCGTTCACACACTGCGGGGGACATGGAAAGGGTGGCCCGTTCAGAAGTCACCTCCTCCAGGATGCCCTCCTTCCCTGTAGCTCCTGTACTGCTCCAGCGCCATGTTCCCAGCAGCTGTAAGTTGGGAAAGGCGGCCCCTGCTCCAGCATTTCCCCGGGCACATGGCCTGCTCAGCAGAGCGTGGGCTAGATTCTAGCCACCACCAGCTCCTCCGCCATGCCTGTGGGCAACCCAGAACCTGCAAGCATATGTGGTGGCCCTGCTGTCACCCCTTTTCCTTGTGGCCTGACCCAAAAGGGAACCCCTAAAGGGTATGACCCCAGGGGATGGGCCTGTGATCTCCTCCCCACCAGCCAAGGACGTCACTCCTGGGAGGAATCCAAGGCCCCTCCAACCATTGTCTTCCTCCCTGTTGCGGGTGTCCCTGCCCAGATATGCATCTGGCTCACCCCTCACGAGGTCCTGCTCAATGCCACCTGTCAGAGGCCCTCCCTGACCACCCTTTATAAATCAGCACCCTCCCTGCTGCACCCACTCTGTTCCCTCTTCTTCTCTCTTAGTCTCCTGCAGTTCCCCTCAAGGTACATTGCCATCGGACACCTTAAGTATTTACTTATTGGCCCACCTTCTCCCCTGGGATAAAAGCTCCATGAGGGTGGGCACTCTGCTCTGTCTGCCACTGTGTCCCCTCACCTAGAGTTGTGCCTGGGACCTAGTAGGTGCTCAATAGGTATTTTTTAAATAAATGACTGAGTTAATAAACAAACAGATGAGGGGAGTATTGGAAAGGCAGTACTCAAAGCCAAACACGTGCATAATATGATTGTCACGCATTGATACACACACAAAACACACAGGCGCCAACTCAGACTTCTGGAAATAGTTTCCCACAAACAGGTGCAAGCTCCGAATCACAGGGACACGGCTGTCCACGCAGTGGACCACACACAGACCTACACGTGGGTGCCCGTGGAAAGACACGGGCGGTGGCCTCGCTCCCTCCTCACTCCTGCAGCACCCGCCAGAGCCGCACCTTGCACTGCAGGTAGGCCGTCTGGGCCCTGCCTGCATCGTCAGTGTAGATGACCTGCATGACGTGCGAGCTGCCAAAGCTCTTCTCTTCCACCTTTTCTGCTGCCCGGATGTTCGCCAGCCTGATGAAGGCACTTTTCTGGAGCAGGCAGGGAAAGGGGGGCTCAGGTTTCTGGCCGGGGCCACTCCCCTCCCTGCCTCTGGGCCTCAGCCTCCCTTTCTGCAGCACCAGAGGGTGGTGGAGGGGACCCAGAGTGCCTACTGCTCCCCAGAGTCTGCTCTGTGAGTGGCCTCAGCCAGGGCAGAGCCCAGACTGCCGGTGACCACGTGCCCAGTGACTGGGAAGGAAGGAGCACGGCTTCTCGGGGGCTCCCCGCAGGTGTTTGGAACAGCGTCTGGACACCCCGCATTCCCTGGGCTACAAAGTCATGCCTGCGACGGACCAGGCCCTGTGCCTTTGCACTTATTAATCCTCCAACCCACCTTTGTTTTCCTAGGCTCTGCAAGCCATAGGCAGTGGGCAGATTCTGGGCCAGATTATCAGAGATGGCTGGGATGGAGCTGGACGGGGAGAGGTTGGGTCACTGGGTGGCCATGGGGCCTGCCCCTCCAAGCTTATTTCGTTTGCAGCTAAGTTACAAAGTCAGGAGAATGTAAGGGCCACTATGGAGGATGACTGTCGATGGAGTCTGCCCTCCTCACCTGGGGATGCCTCAGGGACAGGCCCCAAGCTCTGTCCTCAGCAGCACCCTGAGCACCAGTGACCTGGGGAAGGACTCAGGTGCTCAGAATCAGAACTGGAGAAGACCTCAGCCAGCTGGAGCCAAGGGCCAATTGAAACAAGGTCAAGTTTAAAAAAAATAAATGCTAAGCCCCGGCCTTAAGTTTGTTTTTTCTTTGACATTTTTTGAGACAGGATCTTGCTCGGTTGCCCGGGCGAGAGTGTAGTGGTGTCATCATAACTGCAACCTCTAACTCCTGGTCTGAGTGCTCCCCCTGCCTCAGCTGACAAACAGTAAAGACACCAGAAACCTGGTCCTAGCCAGGCTTTCTTCTCTGACCCTGGTGGACCTCAGGTGCACTCTCAGGAAGGGGACAGGTGCCTTTAGGGTGCTATAATCTCCCGGAGCCCCTCTCGCCATCTTCCCTCCTTACTCACCTTGGAGCTGGGTGTCTTGGCGAAGCTGAGGGCCTCGGTGGTGAGGGAGAAGTGGAGCTTCTTGAAGGAGGACGACGAGAGGGGGCCCTTGCCCTTGGTCCTGTGGATGAAGAGCGGCCCCTCCTTCACGGGTGGCGCCTGCAAGCTCAGTGTCCGCTGCAGGTCCAGCTCTGTAGGGGGGCGGGGCAGGGAGGGAGAGGAAAAGGGAGCCCAGTGAGGGGGCGGGGCCAGGGCGGAGCAAGCACCAGCAGCAGGCAGCGGGCGGGGCAAACGCAAGCAGGAGGCTGTGGGCGGGGCCGCGCGGGGAACCGCCCACCCTCCTTCTCCTCGATGTCCACGAGCTTGGTGATGAAGTCCTTCAGCTGCGCCACGCCTTGGCGCACGGTGGGCTGCAGCGGCTCCATCCAAGCCTCCTTGGCTCTGGAAGCCGGCGTGTCCATGTTGCCCACGTTCTGGACCGCCTGGGGGGTGACAGCACGAAGGACCAGGCTCTGCTGGGACAGGGGCCTGGCCATTGCATGCCCCCAACACCCCTGCAAGCCTCTGCTTCAGCTGTAGGGATGGAGGCAGAGGCAGCAGAGGCCCTGCCCACGGGCCCACTCCAGCCCCTCAGGGGATCATGGATGAATCACGGCCTTTGAGGTTCTGACAATTGAGACCATATTGACCCAACCTATTAACCTTCCTCTTTAAGTTTAATCTCAGACTGCTGCGCTGAGTGACCGAGCCTGGGAGTATGTAGACTCAGGTTGGAAGGTCTACTGTGCGGCCTTGGGCAGCCTGCGACCCCTCGCGAGCCTGTTCCCTTATCTATGAGATAGGGGTCAGGTGAGGCAACCCCAGGAAAGCTTTGCATACTGTCAGGTGCAGTAACCACGTTACAGTATCAGCAGCCTCGCCACAAGGCCTTCCCGGAGCCAGTAGGGGCCGTAGTGCAGTCCAGGCAGGGGCCCCGGTGCAACACCCGTTCGGGCTTCCCACCCCGCAGGCCCGCACCTTGGCCAGCAGGAGCAGGGTGCGGCTGGTGCGGGCATCCGCGTGGCGCTCCCGCAGGTGGAAGAGCTTGGGAGACATGATGGCGGGAGAGAAGAAGCGCAGGCACAGGAAGCTGGTGACGGCGATGAATGGCACGTTCTGGAGGAGTGCGGGAGAGCATGGGCTCCCCTGCGCCTGGGAGCCGGGCGGGCCCCACCCTCTGCCTGCCTTCCCCAGCCTCCCCGCCGCTCTGAAACCCGCCCCAGCCCGGCCGGCAGAGGGCGCACCTCGTGCTGGGCGCCCGGGAAGCGCTCGCGCACGCGCCGGAAGAGCTGGCGGAAGGTGGCGCGCACTACGGCGGGACAGGCGCGCACCGAGCGACTGAGTGCGCTCAGCAGCGCCCCCAGGTGGGCACGCAGCGTCTGCGCGCTCTGCTCCAGCACGTCGGCTTCTGTCTGCGGGCGGTGCAGCCCGGAGCACCTGCGTGGGCCCGGGCGGGGCGGCAGAGAGGGGTGCGGTCAGCGCCCGCAGGCCACACGGACAGGGGCTCCCGCAGACACAGGCGCCAAAAGGCATCAGCCGAGACATGGACACAGAAACAACACACAGGTGGGCAGGGCAGCGACAGGTAAACCCAAGCAGAAAGAGCCACCAACACACACTTGCAGACAGGGCCTGAACCCGCACCCCCCACCCACAGCACCCCCAGGGATCACCCGACCTCACCCTACATCCTTAACTTCCACTTTGCTGGGGTCCAGCTCCACGTACTTCTTCTCCTCAAACACCTTGTCGATGATGGGGCCCACGATGCCGTGCAGGTACCGCATCCCAGCCACCTAGGGGCCACCGCGAGCCGCATTGGTTCTGTCCCCTCTCCAGCTGCCCTTTCCCAGTAGCTGGCCTCTGCAGCCACCAATGCACCCTCTGCCTGCGGTATCTGCCCAAAAGGGGCCAGCTACACAAGCAGGGCAGCTCCACACACTGCTTCTCCACAAATGAATGAATGAATGAATGAAATTCTTAACCTTAAAGGGCCCTGGACACTGAGACAGAATACTGGAGTTTCAGCTCCAATTCTGTCTCTTGGCCTCTCTGAACCTCAGAGTCGTCATCTATGAAACGAGGACAGTATGCCATGCAGACCCACCTTCAGAAAAGACTCCATGGACTTTGAGGCCAGAGAATTGCTCCGGAACAAGGTGTTGGCTTCACCTACAAGCAGTGGTTCCAGTGGGTGGGGGACGCTGGGACAAGGTTTTGTGGGGAGGAGGACAGAGGACCCTGGGGCTGGGGCCTCTAAGCTAGCCCTTCAGTAAAAGGCCTCCTTGCCACTGTCCCACCTCTGTCCTTTGCTCCATCTCTCTCCTCCTCCATCTGCCCCATCTCCCCCCTACAGACTCCCCACTCCCTACTCCCACCCCGCACCCCGGGACTGGCTCCCTCCCAGGCCTCACTGGTGCGCTGCAGCTCCAGCTGGAACAGCAGGTCCAGAAAGTCCTTGGCCAGCCCCTGCCCCAGGAAGAGCTTGAGCAGGTTAGTGGCCACATCCTGGCGGCACTCAGTGCTGGTCGTCTCCTCGATGAGTGGGATCAGCTGCCCTGAGCCCTGCAGGAGGTGGCAGGGAGAGGCAGGGCTGGGAGAGGCACCCGGGAACCCGAACCTTCACTCTGAGGACCTTAGAGCACCATGGGGAAGGGGCCACTTTCCCAAGAAATGGCTGGGGGCGGGGCCCTGGGCACTGGCCAGCTCCTTACATCCTGAGAACTCCGTGTCCTGCTCTGCAGAATGGGTTTAGGAGGACAGGGCCTACCGTCGCCAGACCCTCCCACCTCCCCGCAGAGCCCTCTCACCTGTGTGCCTAGCTTCACCTCATGGCACAGCAGCTGCACCAGGGGCTGGTAGCAGCCAGAGGGCAGCACCGTCTCATCCCGCAGCCGCACCTCCAGCTGCAAGGAGCCCAGGTTGCCCCTGGAAAGCGCAGCCCGTGACCTCTCCACCAGGGACCCAAGTGCTCCCCCCGCCCTTCCCCTGCTCCCCTGTGTTCTTCCCCCTTGGGGCCAGCCTCCCCATCTCTCTGCTCCTGCCCTCCACCCATCCTGTGTGGGTTCCCTGCAGTGCCTGGCCTCCCAGGGTGCTGCCCGTACTGCTTATTTCTTCTCTCTGAAAGCCCTTCCTGCCTCTGCACTCATGGAATGCCGCCCTCAGGCTCCTGTGGCCCTCAAGCTTGACCCACGCGGGCACACAGGACTCCCCAACATCGAATCTATAAACTCCCAGATAATAGCAGGTTCATGTGAACACTTTACACTGGAAGCAAATCCCCAACCCCATAACAACCTGCTGGGGAAACTGAGGCTCAAGCAGCTCAAGCAACTCACCACAGATCTCACTTCCACGCTTTCTTGTTCTGACCCCTCCTTGCGGGGGTGTGGACCAAGGCTTCACATCCTCCAAGGCCCCCTGCCCCGCCCAGCACACACTTCACACACAGAGGCATCAAAACGAGCCCCTGGCTGGTTCATGGGAAAAGCTCTGGCGGTGGACGCACATCCGTCCACCTGCCCTGCCCTGCCAAGGGTGGGGATGGGGGGTCTGGGGTCTTCTGCAGGGGAGACAACGCTGAACCACCCAAGGGCTGTGGGGGACACAGCAAGCAGGCCAGGTCCCAGCTAGGCTGCCAGATTTGGTGAAATAAAAACCCAAGACACCCAGTTATATTTGAATATTTTTAGTGTGAGTATGTCTCAAATATTTCATGGTCATTCTTATACTAAAAAAGTACTCACTTGAATTTTACTTGAAATTCAGCTTTAGAGGGGTGTGCTGTCTTCTACCTGGCAGCCCTATGCCTGGAGAATCTTGGGGAGTGACTCAGAGCTTTGGCTCAGGGACACCAGCTCTGGGGACTTGAACCCTGGTCTGACGTCTGCAGGGAAACCCTCAGAGGGAAAAGGTCTGAGGACATGTTCTAGAAACAGCCAGAAGGCAGAAAACAGAGGACCTGGACTGCCTCCACGCTCAGAGGACAAGGCTGCGCAGGGCTGTGGGAAAGGACAAGAGTGGGTGTGGCCTGGAGGAGAAGCATCCTGGCCTGGCAGGCTGAGAGCTGAAGGAACCCTGGGGCTGTGTCCCCTGACCCCTGAGCGCCCACCTGCCCTGCATGCCTGAAGCCAACTCTCAAAATCTCAGCCTCCAGCCCTGCTGCCAAGTCCCCAGCACTCACTTGTCCCGCCGGCTCTTGGACTGGTCGGGCTGCAGCCGGAACCAGCCCTCCTCCTGCTGGGCCACCCAGAGTCTCTGGACATTGAACACCACCTAGGGGCAGGGCAGATGGGTGGAGGGAAGGTGTCATGCTGGGGCTGGGACACTCACATATCTTCCTTGCAAACTACCATTCTGTTAGCGGGAAAGGGTCCCTTCCAAGGGTCCCTGAGCACCAGCATCAGTGGGGGGCAGTCGCTGGTTCTGGGGAGTCCCGGGCTTCCTGAGTGCCGCTCTCTGGGGCAGCTGGAGGGAGGTCCCTGAGGGTGGGATGGCTGGAAGTGAGGCCAGGTGCTGTAGGCAGCAGGTGCCCCCTGGGGCAGTGCTCACTTTGCCCAGGAAGTCGTTCCGGCTGACGAGGTCCCAGTCCCAGGCCTCCACACACAGCGCCTCCGCAGCCCTCTCCTCCAGCTCAAACTCAAAGGTCTCGTTCCAGCGTGGGTAGCATGATTTCTTCACGATCTGCCCAGAGAAGGGGAGGAGGGGTTGGGGCTGACTCCACACGGCTCCCTGACCCAGCCAAGGGCAGAGCCACCCCAAACACCTCCCTGGTTCCCTGCAGACTCCTTGCCTCTGAGGCTTTGCAACAGCAGAGGTCAAAATGTCCTGTCCAAGCCCACACTCATTTCTCAGATGGGGAAAACTGAAGCCCAGGGTAGGAAAGGGACTTGTCCAAGGCCCCACAGCACTGAGAACCCAGACCTTGGTGCCCTCCCCCAGGACTGAGCCCACCACCCTGGTCGGTTCTCGGGGGTGGGGAAGGCAGGGTGGGCCGCCATCGAATTTTTCAGGTTAACCCCACTCTGGCTGTCTCAATCCCCTGCCTACCCCCCAGTGTGGCCGGGGTGAAAGGGGTTGGCACTAAAGGGGCTGAGACCTGCCATGTCCCCTCAGAGAGGTTGCCCCCTTCTCTGGGCCTGCTCTGTGAGACGGTGGTCCCAATCTAACCTCCCAGGTGATGCTGAGGACAAAGCCGACAGGGCCCTGAGCCTCCTGTCCCCTCCCAGCCCACTGGCTTCCTCACCGAGGTCTCCTGCGTCTGGCCGTTGTAGCGCACTCGGACAAAGGGGTCAGATGCACCATTCCGATCCTTTGGGGCTAGGTCCCTGGTTTGGGGGGGAATGGGTCACCCACTCATCATCTGAGCCCCCCCAGCCTGTGTCCACTGTAAGGTAGCCACACCAGGCTGGAAAGGCATTGGTGCACCCTGGCCCCTCCCGCTCTGGGCCTCTGTTCCCACGGCCATCTCCCCAGTGTCCCCCATGTGGCCAAGACTCCCCCGAGGTGGAGACCGAGGCTCCACCTGACTGGGCAACTGCTGCCCCTTGCTCTGGGGACGCAGGGAGGCAAGTGCCGCTGGGGAATAGCCCAGGCCGAGCCCCCTGCCCTCTGTTCTCAGGGCAGCCCGGAGCTGGGGTGACCTCTCTGAGCCTCAGTTTCCTCCCCTACCCCACCGAGGCCTGGTGCGATAATGGCCTTCTAGAAGGCCCAGTAATGTCCTCCTCGGGGTGGGTGAGGTGCAGCCCGGACAGACGGTCTTTCCCTCCCCACAGATGGAGCTTCACAAAGCCCGAGTCGGGTCACCTCCAGCGCAGAACCCTTTGCGGACGAACAGCAAAGCCCACGTTGCTCCTGTTTACTATAAACATAATTTTTCTGCCTGTTTCCTCTCTTTATTTTAAGTTTTAAGCCTCTTGTGCCTGCCTTCCTTTCCCCCTCAAAACTGTCCAATAGAACTCCAAGGTTTGGCCTTGAGAATGTGCCCAGAAACATAAGGAGAACGTGTTCTTTCTTCCTCTGCCGCAACCCGGGATGTCTCAGGATTCCAGCAGGGGTCTTGGCACTGAGGACAGCCAGGAGAGGCCTGGACACACCCCTCCCTCTGCTGGGACTTGCCAAGAGGCGGCCAGACTGGCCCAGCGACTGTGTCCCCACCAGTCCCGAAAGGAGAGGACTGAGAGGTTCTTGGAGGGGATGGCCAGGGAGAAATGCTTTGGTGTTGCCCGTGTCCATGGGTGGGGATGACGCCTGGGAGCAGCAGCCCCGAGGTCCCAGAGCCTGGCCATGCATGTGAGCGGGTGCACATGTGTGCATGCCTGTGTCCCAGACAGCCTGGTGCCAGGCAGGGCTGAGGACACGGAGGAGCCAGGGGAGCAGAGGATGGATGGGGGCGGGAGAATGAGTGTGCATGGGGGCATGGCTGCGGCTCGGCCCAGGTCCAGACATTTTCCATCCGTTCCCATTTTCCCAGGGCAAAAATAAAGCCAGGGCAGCCACAGAACGCGTTCCCTGTGCACATCCAACCCATGCCTTTCATTTGCCAGAGAGAGATAAATCTTCCTCCCAGACAGGGTGACTGCCCCAGGGTCGGGGGCACAGTATTCCACACGCCCTGGCTGGCTGGGGGCTGCCCTCCCGCCCCAGAGGCAGAGAGGGACTCCAGGGAGGTGGGTTTGGAGCCAGAAAGGAAGGCACTTCTCACGGAGTGTGACTCACACTCAGGCCCAGACGGGAGTGGAGCCTGCAGCTAAAAATACCCTGGGAGTGGGGCGGGGGTGGCCCTGGCACAGGTGACTCAGGCCCACTGAGCCAGCCAAGCCACTGTCCCTCCTGGGGAGAACCGCCACCCTGCCCATCTGGAGATTGTTAGCAACTCTTTTCACCCTCGAGCCCCACCGAGGACCTACACACACACACCAGGCCAAGTTCACATTGGGGTTAAACCTGGGGGAAGCCCAGCCTTGGTGCTGGGGTACTGGGGTCACAGTTCAAGGTCCCCTTGCACCCCGACCCCACTGCTCTATGATGCCTGAAGTTCCACCATTAGAACATCACCCACTCCCTTAAGGGACATGTCCCCTGAGTTTCCTAGAGAACATCCAGAAACATCTGCAAGTCAGGAAACCCTCCCAGACCCTCTCTTGAGGGCAAGCTTTGATGGGAGGCGGCCCTGGGGCCAGGAGGCAGGGGTGTGGGGAGGGGAGGCTCCTCAGTGGGTTTCTCTGGTTTCACAGGCCCCATGCCCGTGCCCCAGCCCCCCATCTTACCTGGCCTCCAGCACGGAGCAGCGCAGCCGGTGGGCCCGGGGCCCCGGCACCACCTCCAGTCGCAGGTGGATCTCGCCCTGCACCTCCTCATCGGGGTCAACCTCCGTCAGGTGGGCCCACCCGCTGAAACCTGTGGGGCTGCAGCTCAGCCAGGGGCTGGGCCCTTTCCCGCCAACCCTTCACCCTCAGCCCTGCCAGGTACCACGTGGCACCTCCATAATCCCCTCGGAATCCCCTCGAGCACCCTCGAGGCAGGGGCTGTCTTCTCCAGTGACAGATGGGGAAACTGGGGGTCGGAGGTCCCAGCAGGTGGAGGAGCTGGGATTCTAATCTAAGTGAGGGCCTGCGCCCTCACCACGGTGCCACGATGCATTCAGCGGTCCTGACCCTAACTCATCACGGGACTGTCCTCAATTTCCCCATCTAAAAACAGAGGAGAGTGGCTCTCCCCTAGGGCTGCTGGGAGGAGGGTCTGAGGCCAGGTGGGGAAGCTACATGGGACCCTGAGGAAGGGCCTCACTGGGGCCTCTGGACCCCAGAGGGGCTGGCTGGAGCTGCAGGGAGGAGAGGCCTCTGGCCTGGCTGGGGCCAAGAGGTTCCATGAGTCAGCAGAGCCTGCCGCCACCCCCGTGCCTGCCCCAGCCTCACAGACAGGAGCAGGTGTGTGCCGGGGAAGCCGGTGAGAGGGTCACAGAGGCTCGGGCGCAGTGCCTGAAGCATCCAGGAACTCCTGGTCTGAACCCTCAGAGATGGCAGGACCTGCCCAAGGTCACACAGTGAGGGTGGGGCAGGGCTGACCCCTCAAAAAAATGTCTGCATCCCCAGGAAACATCCAACGGGCTCTGCAGCCTTGACTGGCTCCAGGCCAACCCCTTAGACTTAGGACAGAGGGGCACTGGGGCCCAGGTGGAGGGGACCCCACGGGGTACGGAAGGCGCTATCTGGACTGGAGGAGGGGCCCCTGCACCTCAGCAGTGGAGTATGAGGGGCAGGCCTCAGACCCCACCATTGGCAGCCCCTCTCCACCCTGGGGAAGCAAAGTCCCCAAAGTGGGCAGAAGAACACAGAGGCCACACGCCCAGGCTTCTGGGGAGTGTAGAGATGGCCTTCCCTGAGCACGGGACCGAGGGAGCGGGCAGGGAAGGTCTCTGATGGGGACAGAGGCCAGGGGGTGGGCACACCAGGGGCAGGGGGAGAAAGCCATGGACTCCCTCCCAGGGATCTTACCTTTAGGGTGAGAGGCCAGGGTGTCCCTTGTAAGGCAGACCTTCCCAATAACGTCATCCCGGCTAGAGGGTGGAGATGGAGCCAGAGCTGGGCAGGGCTGTGGCGCCTGCTAAGGACCCAGCACCCCCTCCCACCAAGTTCAGGGTCCCCTATGGGGAGCAGGGAGGTGGACATTCCAGTCCCTTGCAGTGTAGCTCAATGGAGGAGGACCTGTGGCTTCTGGATTCTGGACACTCAACGGGCAAATAATATTTCTGTACATGGACCAACACATGTACCCGCACACATGCCAAGCTCATGCTCCCTGGGTACCCATTTCACAGGTCACGCCCCCATACACACATAGTCCATGCACACCTGTGCCTGTACCCCGCACATGCACCGTGTGATGTGGCTCGTGCCCCATGAATCCCTGCCCTGCCCCCTCCCAGGCCCACAGGGCTCTGCCTTCCTCCAGGCTGCAAAGAGGCTGCAAAGGGACCAGCGGTCCCAGTGGGGAAATGGGCCGGGGAGCTGGGCAGATGGTCGCGTCCAGGCCCCAGCTGAAGAGTGGGGGCACCCACCTGAGGGCGTCCTCGTCCATGACGTAGAAGGCCACTGCGTGGAAGGTGGGTGGCAAGTGCACCTGATACTCCTCACCCCAGAAGGGGCACAGGGTCTTCCACACGGTGGCTGTCCTGTAGGAGAGGACCCTCAGCATCCACCAGGCCACCAGCCAGGCCACCCCCAGGCCCTGGGTTGGGGCAAGGCAGGGCTGCAAGACGTGAGCCCACCTTCCTCAAATCTCCCCACCCCTACCCCCAGCAAAGTGGGCTCTGCTTCGGATGCTTCCTCCTCAGACCCCACTGCCCACCGCCAGTCACCAGTCCCTGGCCTCCCTCCCTGCCCTGGATGGGACACAGGGCTGCCTCTAACCTGCCATTTTACGTTTGGGAAATCTGAGACCGCAGCTGGCAGTAGCTGGCCTCAAGTCATGGGACAGCTACACAGCTGGGACCACAAGCCTGGCCTGCCAGCCTCACACCCCTGAGGGTCCAGAGCCTTGCCTCTCCAGGCTCAGCGGGGGTTGGACGAAGACCCAGATTAAGGCTCAGGGGACCACTCTCATGCCAACCACTTCTAAGACAGGTCACCTGAACTCTGGGGCCTCAGTTTCCCTGTCTGTATCAGGACCATCAGAGCCATCACATCCCTCCCTCCTTGGTGACCCTGGTTTGGAGACACTCGAGAAAGTGTCTCTTGCATGCAGGGGGCAAGAATTGGGAGTCTGCGGCCTTGGCAAGGGGTGGGCAACGGGCACTCAGGTGAGCAGAAGAACAGAGCGGCTCTGGCCATGGACTTAGAGGCGGGGGTCTGGGTGGGGAGGAGACAGGACAGCAAAGACTCTGCCCAGAGATCAGGCTCTGGGGTCAGCCAGACTTGGGCTGACTTTGGATGGCTTTGCCACTAACTACATATGTGACCTTGAGCAAGTTACTCAGTGTCCCTGCGCCTCAGTTTTCTCATCTGAAATTGGGGTTTGGTAATATAGTATCTAGCTCATGGTAAGAATGAACCAGGCCAGGAAAGGGTTAGCACAGGGCCTGGCAGAGACAGGGCTCCATAAATGATAGCTGTGGTTACTAATAGTCCTCCTCATCATCTGTCTCTCTCGGGGGCTGTAAGGATTGTAAAGATGAGAAGAGATGGCTGAGTCCCCACTGAATTACTGGCAGCTCTTTCTCACGTCCTAGCTGGTGCGGCAGGCATGGTGGCCCCAGAGGAGTAGGCGCTCCCAGCCCTCACCCACCTCTCGCAAAATTCACAGCCCTTAGGGAGGTGGGTGGGGGCTGGGGTGCGGGCAGTACCTGATGATGGCCTCATTGTCCACCTTCACGATGCAGTAGGGGTCGCTGCTACCGGTGCTGCAAGACAGACGGGCGGGGGGCGGGGCTGGAGGGAAGCCAGCAGGGGCGGGGCCAACAGCGGGGTCTCCAGCAGTGCCCTTGCCTCCCCTAGGTGAGGGGAGGTGCGGGCCCTCAAGACAGGACACAGGGGGAGGAGGTACCTCGTCCTGGGCTGGAACCCAAAGGCTCCCTGGCCCAAAACATGTGCCCCCACCCTCAGCCTGGGAGGGGGGGTGGTGATGGAAAAGCAGGAACCTGTACCCCTATATACAGGGTTGGGGGAGGAAGGGGGAGAGATTGGGAAGGGGAGAGAGGGGGAAGGGAGAGAAAGGGAGGGGACAGAGGGAGGAGGTGAGAGGGAGGGGATGCTTGGGAAAGGATGCCCCTACTTCCTGCCCACTTCTACCCCATGCCTGCCTTGTCCCAAAACAGAGTCCAAGCAACAGGCCCAGGCATGCTCCTGGCACCCCTACCCTCCACACCAAAGTCTACCACCTTACTCTGCCCCCAGCCTTTGCTCCTGCCAGCCCTCCTGCCAGCCCTCCCCTGGGGTCACGCTGCCTCCCCCTCCATCCCAGTGCAGTTAGTGCTGTATGTCATCAGCTGCCTCCCACCTGCTATGAACTCCCTGAGGGTGGGGACCACTTTTGTGTCCCCAGGGCCCAGGACAGGACTTGGCACGAGACAGGGGTGAATGGATGAATCAATGAACAAGTGACTGAATGAACAAATGTAACAGTCCACCCTGGAGAACTCCCAGCCACCTGGGAAAGGAGGAATGGGGACTGCTCAGGTTGGTGGCAGGTCCCTGGGGTTGAGAGGGGCCTCCAGCCAGACCCAGGGCTGACACTGGGCAAAAGGGGGGATGACAACTGTCTCTAGAACTGTTCCTCCTTCTTTCCATCCATAACAAGGAAGCGTATTTCTATGTTGTAGATTGGGGAATTCCAAGTTCTGCTTTCTTTCTCTAAAGGGGCTCTTCCTGCAGAGGAAGCCACTCGGCACAGAACCACTCCCGACATAGACGGGAAATGTCTACCCAGGCTGTTTTCCGGCCTATAATGTGGGAATTGTAATCCCAGCTCACAGGGCAGCTACCCTGGGTCCCTGAAACGAGCTGACAGGGCCAGCCCCTTGCAGGTGCTCAGTAAATGCCAACACTTCTTGAGACTCTGCTCCTCTGCCTGTAACCTCCACCCACTCCCCACCATTCAAAAGCCTCTCTGCAGAGAGTCTCCTGCGAACACCCCAACTTGCATCCCACCGGCCCAAAGCCAGGGGGCTCCAGGCCTCAAGCAATGAGGCCCCTGTGCACCCCAGGTGCTGGGCTACAGGACCCAGGAGCCACACATGTATTTGTTCAAGGAGCCCAGAGGAAGCAGGGAGAGATCAGGGCTGGCTGAGGGAATGGGGGACTTCTTTGGGCTGTCCCCCACCACTGGGCTGCTACTGCTCCCTGGCCTGGGGGACCCTTGGGCCGGGCAAACTCTTGTCCACTCCAGCACTGCCCACTGCTCAGCTCTCACGTGGTGAATGAATACACAAATAAATGGTGAGGCCTGGGGCGCGTGGTGTGGCATCACCGGAGTGGGCACAGGCCTGGAGGCAAGGGAACAGAACTCCGGTGTGCAAGGACTGCGATGAGCTGGGTGGCTGGATCAGAGGGTTGGGAAGGGGACAGTGTCAAGAGTGGGCTGAGGCCAGGTTTAAGGACCTAGGCCCAACCATGGTCTCTAGTGAGCTGCTGGGACCCAGGTCTGCCTAGCGCCTTCTGCCTGGTGAGGCCCCTGCGCCAAGCCCCTCTCCCACTTCTCCTTTTGCAAGCCAGTTGCCACTGGCCCAGCCTGGCTCCTTGCAGGGCCTCTATATTTAGGGCCTTGGCAGTTTCTAGGCTATGGAAGAAGGAGGACGAGGGAAAACCCCGAAATAGCCCTGGGCCTGTCCCCAGGGCCACTGGGTGTGGGAGCCAGGGGGCCACTGGTCACCATGAGCCTTGGCTCCTGCCCAGCTGACCCAGGTGCCCAGGGATGGGAGGCAGTAGGAAGGAGCGTGGCAGAGCAGGCAGGCGCTGGAAGCTGCTGGTGATGGGGCACCCAGCTGAGCTCTGCACCCTGAAGAGGAATAAAAACCCATGAGTGGAAGTGGCAGGGAGGCAGGTGGCAGCCATGTGAGGATGACTCCCTCCTCAGATGGGCCACAGTGAGAGGTGGTGAGCTCCCCATCCTAAGAAGTGTGCCAAACCTGGATGGAGGGAATGCTGCTCAGGAGACAGACCGGGGGCTGGTGAGGCATAGCGAGGCTCTGGTACTTGGTCACAGCCTCCTGTGATCCCCAAATCCCTGCTGTCTCTGCAGCCAGATGTTTTGCATGAGATTTCCGAGGCTCAGTCCCCTGAGCCCCATGACAAGCTCGCAGCCTTGCGTGAGCTAGGATTCTTGGCCTGTCAGCAGCAGACAGAGGGAGTTTCAATCGTGACTTCTCTACCTACTTGCCATGTCACCTTGGCAAGCGATTTCTACATCCTGAGTCTCAGTTTCCCCATCTGCAAACTGAGGCTATCTACCATATACAGCTAATAAGAGGATTAATGGGAAGGTCCTCAATACCTCTTACTCCCCCTACTACAGACCAGGTCCCTCAGGGCACCGGAGTGCCAAGATGAATGAGCCAAGGTCCCTGGCCTCACAGTCAGGCAGCTCCTGCAGGAGCAAGTGCCACGCCAAGGGCTGCCTCCAGCAGACCCACAGCCACGAACCCTACCCAGGGTACCAGGGAAAGCCCTGGGAAGGAGGAGGAGTTTGAAAGGGGTCCTGAAGGATAAACAGGAGTTTTCCGGAGGACTCCAGAAGAGAGCGCTGGAAGGCAGAGGGGCTGTGAAGGGCAGCTGCCCAAAGGGGAGGGAGGGGCTGAGTCTACGACGGTTTAAGAGATGGTTCACAGGTCAGGGCTGTGTCCACCACCCACCCTGGGAAGGAAGGGAGAGGTGGCAAGTAGGGCAGGCAAGGGGGCAGGTCAAGGAAAGAGATTAGGAGGCACCACTCCCCCCGGGGAGATGAGGCCCCTGGCCATGTCTTTGCCCATGGCCCTGGGCTGTGCAGAGGCAGGGCTGGGCAGGGAACCAGGCACCTGGGCTCCCAGGTAGGCACAGCCCAAGACTTTTGCTGCCCTGGGCTGGGGAGAGCCTGGAGTCAGGCACTAGGGCCAGCTGTCTCAGAGATGGGGAGGGAAGCGACAGACGGAGGGGCTGCTCCTCCCAGCCACCACCAGCCAGAGGAGGCCAAGATGACCTAGTTACTCGAGCTGGTGGGGTGGGCGGGTGCTTAGAGGCTGGGCCTGGGGGCTGAGACCCTTCTCAGAGCTAATCTGCCTTCCCACCCCACAGACCTCATTCCCAGCTGCCACCCTACTTCTCCCCAAGCACAGAAACCCACCTTGAGATCCCCCACCCTCCTCCCTCACCCATTGCCATGGCAACTGCTGAGCTCGGCCTCGTCAGGCCCAGGGGGCCTTGAACTAGAACTGCTTGCTGTGGCACTGAGCATGCTATGAAGGGAAGCTCACAGCAGCCACTATACTGGGAGAGAGATACTCACCCCTACCCCACCCCCTCACCCCTCCTGGCCACTTCTCTGCATCCCGGAGCCTCAAGGGAGGGAAGGCTCCAGCCCAGCAGACTTTGGACCCGACACCTCCTCCTCTGGGCTCCCCTGCCCCCACCCTCCCGCAGCTCCTCCAGGCAGCCAGTGCCCCTCAAGCTTTGAGCTTCGCACCTTTCCCTCTAGATAGCTTTCAACCCCTCGTTTACAGAAGGGGAAACTGAGGCTTCGGGCACCCGGAGCTGCCTGAGGCTGCAAATGGGAAAGCTGGTGGCAGAGCCAAGATGGGGAGAGAGTGGTCCGGGACTTAGCCCTGGGACCTACTGAGAAGGGTGGCACAAGGGGCTCCTGAAACCTTCTCAAATCTGGCCAGGGACCAGGGTAATCCCTAGATGTCAGCACCTGTTAGGAGCCCTAGATTCAAGACCTTGCTCTGCCACTCGGAGCCAGCATTTCAGGTCTCTGAGCCTCAGTTTCCTCATCTGTAAAGTGAAAGGATGAGAACTGCCTGCTGGGTGGTTGGAGGATTAACAGGATGGCTCAGATAAAGCCAAAGGCACAGGTGGGCTCAAGTGACAGTTACCACCCAGCTCCCTCCCACCGTCTGGCACCTGACCTGTACCCACTATTCAGTACCTTCCCCCCTGCCCACGTGCACAGCAGGAAGCCCAGGGACAGCCCCAGGGCCCCAGGGCCTGTTTCAGGTGCACACTCCAGGGTACTAAGGGCTCCCGAACTACTAAAGCAGAGCCCTCGTTTGTAAGGGGGCACCCCACTCTCTCCAGCCACACCCGGGGCAGTTCACCAAGACGTCTCCCCTGCGACGTCTCCCCGAGCGCCAGCTCCTGTCCCATCAAAGCCCCTTCCACTAGTGAGCCAAGGTCGCTCCCTCACTAAGCCCCCTGACAGATCCCCGCCCCCTCCGTAGTCCCCAGCCCTCTGTGACACTCTCCCACTGTTGTCACTCCCTGTCTGGAGCTCGCAGCAAATCTCACTGTCCCCATTTTCCCTGCCCGTCCCCCACCGCTGCCACGCTCCCACACTCTCGCCGCTGCTCGATCTGCGGGTAGACCCCAGAAGGTTCAGGCGTAAGGGGGCAGCGCCCTTCCCGGGAAAGTTGGGGCTCCCACCCTTAGCCGCGCTCACATGTCCTTGGCGGGCAGGTTCTTTCCCTCCACGATGCGGATGGACAGCGAGCTGCGCTTGGCCATTGCGAGTCCGCGACGCGTGGTCCTGGCCAGGGGTAGCCGGACGTCAGAGTCCGGGAAGGCGGGCGGCGGGCGCGGGACTGAGCACCGGTGGGGGGGACGGGCCGCGCCCGGCAGCTAGGCGAGCGCGGGGGCGGGGGAATCGCTTCCACTTCATTCACCCCCACCCCCGCCCCACGTGCGGGGGGGACACGGCAACCGGGCAGGCCAATCAGCGGCCGGGGTTCCCCGGGCTGGGGCGGGGCCGGGCCGAGTAGTGGCGCTCATTTGCCGCCTGGGGCGTGAGGGGCGGGGCCTACGCGTAGGCGCTGATGCCCCGCGGACCCAGAGCGCGCTGGCGAGGGAGGGGAGTGCCACCGGAGCGAGGGTGGGCGCCGGGTTCCCGGTGGCCCAAGCCGCGGGTTCGGGTGGGCGGCGGGCGTGGTCCGAGCGCGAGTGCAGAGGCGCGCGGGGGGCGGGTCTGCCTGTGTGCGTGGGGACACACGGGCAGGGGGACCTGCGAAGAGGAGGCGGGTTCCCGCAGCCGGGACTGCCGGGGCCTCCAGAGTCTGCTGCGTAGGCGTGAGCTGGACGCGTGAGCGATCCAACGGACGCAGCCAGCAGCGGGAGCCACCTGGACCCAGAAGGAGGGGACGACAGCCAGGACAGCCCAGAGGCTTTGGGAACTGTCATTAAAGTCTAAAAGACCTGTTTTGGGTTTGGTTTTTGTGCGCCTGCTTGGGAGGAGGGGCCTTTCTCAATTGTCACCTCATTTACTCCTTCTACATTCAACCCCCCACCCCCACCGCAGTGGGAAAGTGGTTGAGGGGCTCGGGTTCCCAGGGGGAAGATTACCTGCTGGAAGTCAGGAGGTCACACAGGTGGGCCCCAGCAAGGCCTCCCCAGGACTCCTTGATGGCCAGTCTTTCCACTGGAGCACAGTCCCTCTCCCAGGCTCTGCCCAGAGCCGAGTCTCTAGAATTGTCTGCCACCGTGGTTCGGTTTGGGGACTGGCACAGCAGTGACTGGCCCTGAGAAGCTGGCCCCCCGCCCTCCAGGGCACTGCCCCAAGCCGTGAGGGCATACTTGGGTCCCAGACACAGCTCCGCCACGCCCTTGCAGGGTGACCCTGGGCGGTTTCCTTAGAGTCTGTGAACTGGTTCCTGCAGAGAGGTGCTGGGAGCAGTAACACCTGCCAAAGGTACACAGGAGAATCTGTGTGTGAGCGTGTCTAGCACAGATTCTAGTTTCCGTTATATTGTTTTCTTTTCCTATTTCGTTATTTGTAACCTACACGCACAGTTTGCCAAATTCAAAAGCTATTGAATGTTTGCAGCACTTACAAGGAAGAGTAAGTCTCTTCCAGCCACACTAATTCTCTCCCCCAAGGCATCTTCTGTTCCCAGTTCCTTTCGAAGCCTTCTGGAAACAGTCTTTGCCTATAATTCAACAGCAGATATATATATATTTTTTTCTTTTATGCACAAATAGTAGCTTACTGTTAACACTTACAGCTTCGTTTATTTTATCTTGGAGAGCCATGCAGCTCTATACATCAAAAAGCACCCCCATTCTCTTTGCCATTGTGCAGACATCTCTTTGACAGGTCCGGGCCCCCTGTTAGTGGCTGGGCAGGCTGTTGCCATCATTTGCTTTGACTAGACAATAGCGTGGCTCACTCGTTTTGCACGTGAGTGAATGGAGCTGAGGATAAATTCCTAGAAATGGACTCTTCAGGCCAGAAGACACGTGCATGCAGGACGTCTATAGGATATGCCAGGTTTCCTGACGTGCTGGCTGGTCCCATGTACAGGGCCACCAGCGTACACAGAGTGCCAGCTCCCCCATGCCCTACCAGCCCACTCTTTACTGATCGTGCGATCTCTATGTGAACATGGAAAATCATCTCTTCTCAGAGTACTTATGGCCTGTTTTAGGTGGTTTATTAGGGCTGCCATCAGCCATCCTTGATACTGCCCCCTCTGGCTTCGTCATCCCCAAGGCCTGTCCCCATCCCCGCCTCCCTACGCCTGGGTTTGGGCCAGGCCAATGGGAGATGGGAAGATGCTATATTGGCTTCTTGGGAGAGTGGGGGCTTACTCCTCCAAGCTTGGGCTTTTTCTGAGGCCTGGTTGGTAAGAGGGTGGGCAGGGAGGGCCTCTGCCGAGTCCAGTGTGAGGATCTACTGCACGCGGGGGCCCTTCACCTAGCCTGGAGATGCACACCCCAAGGGTGGCCCAGGGAAGCCCAAGCTGAAGGCTCCTTCCCCACCACGGCTTCTGGCGTCTGCCTTAGGCTCCCTGCTTGCCCACCCCCGGTCCTGGGAGGCTCACCTCCTCCTCCAGAGGCAGCTGGGAGCAAGGCCGGGCCCTCCACCCTGCTGAGCCTCCAGAGCGGCCCTTGGGACCCAAACCATGGCTGGTCTCCCCAGAATGGTGCAGCTGGCATGCCCCACCCTCCCCCCAGAGTCTTCAGCCCACTGTGCTTCAAGCCAGGCTCTGCTCCCCCACCAGGAGTTCTAGACCCCACACTGACCTGGTCACCGGCCCTTCTAGAGTGTGGCTCCCAGAGTGTAGCCCACCCTGTACTCGGGGCTGCACAAAGTAGACATAAACAAACCGAATTCTCCCTTCTCCTGAGCACTAGAGTCTGAATGATGGCCGCCATGCCCCCGGCTTTGCTGGGCCACACTTCCCTGAGTTCTGGTCCCAAGCAGCGAACCAGCTCCAAATAAACACCAAAGGGTTCATGAGATGGCTATCGGGTGTGTCACCAATTCTCTGGAAGGGCTGGATATCCAGGCCCAAAGGCTGTATGTAGCCAAGAACAACATCCTAAATCCTATTCTGCAAGTGGCTTGGTGCAGACGCCCCCACTGCTGGCGGCCCTGGCCCCAGAACACCATGTCACATGAGCACTGGATGCAGGGTGCTGGTGCTGCAACTCCTGCACTCTGCATCCCACTCACACTGAGGCTGGGACAGCCAGAGACCCGTTGTCAGCATCTGTGCTGGGAGGGGGAGGGGAGAGGCCCCTGGACGGAGGAAGGGGATCCTCTGCTGGGCAGCCCACAGAGTGACAATAGTCACTGCAGGATCTGGAATTTCTGCATGTCACATCCCAGATGACAGCCTTTAGCATCCACTAGATGTCACCTGGACCCTGGGCACCCACATAGTTTTCTCATTTGATTCTCACGACAACCTAAGCAGTAGGTACCATCACCCTGTTTCCTTGAGATTCCCTGACACTCCCGGACTCCTGCAGCCCACTCTCCTGCAGGAGGAAGCGGGGAGGCTCCATGCCTGGGGGTGCCAGGCAGTTCTCCCGTCTGCCTTTGGCTCCTGCCATTCTGCCAGTCCCCCTCTCCCCCCACTGACACTTGAGGCCCGTCCCTCAGCATCACCCCCGTGGCTTGGGAGCACAGCCTGTGTGTGAGTGCAAGGACTCCTGGGGCAGAATATCATCAACACAGGATCCAGCCAGGGAGGCGAGCCAAGCTCTCAGCACATTCCCAGAAACTCCTCTCTGGAGAGGGGGTGAGTCAGAGGGTGGGGAGGGAGCAGGAGCTCGGCCCTGGCTCCACCATTCCATCCAGACTCTCCTTCTCTGGTGGGCCACAGAGGAGACCCCGTTGCTAGGCAGATCACTGCCCTCATTTGCTGTTTCCTTTATTCATTCATTCATTCACTCAGCATTCCCTGACTGCCTACTGTGTGCTAGGCTCCGTGCACCAGCCATGGTCCCTGCCCTCAAGGGGGTTCATGGTTGGAGGTGAACAGAAGGATGGATATGAAAGGGTGGCTGAGTGCTACCGCAGGGAAATAAATGGGAACATAGAGGAGGAAGGGGACTTCGGGACTCTTAAAAGAGGAGGTGCCCTTTGAGCTGGGTCTGGAAGGATTGGAGCTGTGCACGATGGGGAGGGAATGCACAGCATGAGGAAGGTGTGCAGGCGTGATGGCAGCTGGGGTGTTCTGGAAACATCCAAGAGGCAGGTGCAGGAGGCTCACCTGGGCCATGCTTCTAGAACTCACCTGAACATGAGACTGGAGAAGCAGACAGGACCCAGCCGGTGGTGGACTTGGCTGCCAGGACGAGCTTGGCCTCACCCTGGGAAGGTTTTGGAGCAGAGGAGGGAAGTGGGGGTCTTGGGTTTGGGAACTGCAGTGGGTGGCATGTTGTGATGTGTTGCCATGTGTGTCTCCTTCCCACCCCCAACTTCCTGTGCCCCTCACCCGCGTGGGCAGTTGACTGGAGTATCCCTGCCCACGTATTTTTACAGATCCACAAAAACGTTTTAATTTCTTTTAGGGTCAGAAGGAAAAAAATGAATATAATTGTGATGACTATGTAATAATGAATCGAACCTGACTGGTGTCTGTCTTTATACCAAAGCAATCATAAAATATAAATTTGAATATCTCGACACGTGCAAGTCACAAGTGCTGAGGGCTCACAAAAGTCACAGTGCACCCAGGACACAGGACAGGGGGCATGTCTTGAGTTCCGATGTATGCTTTTGAAATTCAAAGCAGATCAATAATGCTGAAAGAAAAAGTGTTTGAGTTGCAGGAGTTGGGGCTTTGAGCAAGCCCTGCCTGGGCGGGGCCGGGATGGGGAAAGAGCCTTAGACAATGGTGAGGGTCCGATTGCAATCAAAATGAGTGGGTTTATATCCAAAAGAACTGAAAACAGGATCTGGGAGGGATATTTGTACTTCCATGTTCATTACAGTGTTATCACAATAGACGAGAGGTGGAAGCGACCTAAGTGTCCGACAGATGAACGAATCAACAGCACGTGGTGTATATAGACACACGATGGAATATCCTTCAGCCTTGAAAAGGAAGGAGGTTCTGACACATGCTTCAACATGGATGAACCTTGAGGATGTTATACTAAGTGAAATAAGCCAGTCACAAACAAAGACAAATACTGCATGAGCCCACCTATGTCGGGTATCATCTGGAATAGTAAAATTCAGACGAGCAGAACGTGGACTAGTGACTACCAGGGGCTGG